TGGTTCAGCCTTCAGCGTTCTCGCTTCGGTTCACCTGCCCGCTTTCGGCTTAGTGAGTTGCTTGGAGCTTGGCGCCGACCGGGCGACTTCTCCGTTGCACTCGCACTGCGGTCTGCTTCACTCCGGCGTGGCCGACGCCTATGTGCGTTCGCCTTAATGCGGAGCATCTTGCTCAGCCCACGTTGCCTTGCAGGTGCGAGCTTTGTCCGCCGACTCTGGCGGCAAAGTGTCTTGCAGATTAGCCTCGCCTGTGGCCCAGACGACGCCTTCCGCCCCCTGTCCGTTGCCTCGGAGCCGCTGACCAAAAAAATACCCCCACCAGCCCGCCATACGTTGCAAGACACAAAATAGGCACGTTGGCAGCGATCAGCAGTCGGCCGAGTGCTGATCCTTACCAAATTTGCGCCAGATGGGAATCCCGCAGGCACCTCTCTTGGTGCGCTCCACGTTCACGCTACCTCGGGTATCCCTCTGACGATGTCGCGCGCCCGCTAACGGAAGAATCAAGGAGCGCTGTGAGTCATGACATGTGTTTGCGGCGATCTGTCGCACAACCAGGGTCGAAGATGATCACGACCTTCCGATCCACCCGCCACTCCTTGTGGAGAGTCCCGAGGCCCCTCTTCCACTGAGCTTGTGGCGATCAGTCGCTCACCCAGGGAAGAATCAAGGAGCGCTGCAAATCATGGCAATGTGCTTGCGGCGATCAGTCGCACACCCAGGGTAGAAGATGAGAGAGACGAAGCTCCTCTCCTCTCACGCGACACACCAGGGGAAGCATCGGGAAGCGGCATCACTCCCATTGTCCCCTTTGACCCTCTACAGGCCTGGCACGGATCCGAAGGCGCAGCTGCCGCCGACGCCGACGCCGATGCTGACGCCGACGCCGACGCCGACGACGACGACGACCCCGACGACGCCGACGCCGACGCCGACGACCTGGGGACAGACGCCGACGCCGACGACGACGACGACGACGACGACGACGACGACGCCGCCGACGCCGACGCCGACGCCGACGCCGACGACCTGGGGACAGACGCCGGCGACGACGACGACCCCGACGACGTCGACGCCGACGCCGACGAGAGGCTCCCGGAAGACCCTGGAGGTGGTGTCCAGTGGTAGAAGTAGGCTTCTTCGAGGCCCAACAGCTCCCAAACGCGTCTCAAACCTTCGATATTCGAATGATTGGCGCTTCGCGTATCCCGACCAGCGTCCGTAGCCCCTTTGTGGCTCAAGTCTAAGAGAGATTCGCCACGCTCGCAGGCATACACACATCCGGTACACTCCGTACAAGTAGCGATTTACATCATGATGTATTTTCATGTTGGGGTCATTGGTGTTGCGTCCACTATGGCAGCAGAAGGGGGCCCCCTCGGCCCGCTTGAGCGCCGCCACGTCGCCGTTGATTTGATGCAGCAGCATCCAGCATCCCAGGAAGGAGGACGTTGATGTCGTGCAGAGTGAACCTGCACCAGTGCCCCCCTGTCGCGGTCCACGAAACGGACGACGGTGTGGGCAGGGTGAAGGTTGTGGTAGAATTCGACGAGAACAGAACAGTCACGCCAGTCGCAAAACCCACACACCGTGCATGGTACCTCGGGCCATCGTTCGCCTTGTGGCAGATTAAGGTACAACTGCCTCGGCCAAAACGGCGCATACGATGTGGCATGGGCTAATGTGAATTTCGGTGGCGTCAACGTGTGCACGCACGTGAACCGCAAGGTGTCATCTACGGCTTTGAAGTCCTACATGTCCGACAAGGTTTCCTTGATGTCGGGTACGCACTGGGCTCGTCGTCGTGTGCATGGGTCTGGAGCCGTCCAGCGGTTTCTGGATCGCGCTCGCGGGGCTCTCGATGTCGGTTGGCGCCCACTTGAAGTTGTACCTGTACGGCAAGGCTTCACGGGATGCTCGGTCATGGCTACTGGGTTACAGTGTTGCCACACGGACGTCTGGTTCCCCCTACTCCGTCGAGTCGCCGGGGTACTACTTCACGAGCCAGCTGCACTGCCTGTTCCTCGGCCACCTGGGCCTTTCGCGCCCATGTGGGTGCGTCCTCTACGTTGGCACAGTGGTGTTCGTTCTCATCGGTAAAGCCATCATTTCGCCTTCGTCTCCGTCCTTCCCATGCTCTCGGGGCGCTTTGTGTGATTCGCCACGCTCGTTTTCAAAGTTTTCGTTTTCGGCGCGCGCTTCTGCTGCTGACCGCCTGGTCGGTTTCGAGGCCCATAGCGCGCCGTCGCCTTCACTGCATTTCACTTCAACACCAGCGCAGCCCACCGCGGCAGGCTCGGCGTTCGACCCGTTCACCGCGCCCGCGGACCAAAAGTATCCCAGCCAGCCCATCCAGCCACGATGCCCATTTTGGAGCAATGTTGGAGGTCTTTGGGGATATCCTGAGGCCTTCTTGGGGACCTCTTGAGGCCCTGGTTTGCCCATTGTTTTTGGAGTAGTTGACGCCTGCGGGCCGTGTGGTTCGTGCGCGCAGTCGCCGGCGCCGCCGATCAAGGCGGCGGCGCGCCCGACTTGTCAATGATTTTGTCTCAGCAGCCAGGACACAGGCACCCTGCTACTTTTTCAGCTAGTGAAGGGCATTCGGTTTTTTGTCTTGGGACCATCCTGGAAGCCATCGATTGTAAACACGAAGACGGTGCCAATACGCCCTCCGTCCGTCAGAAGCCTAACCGTCACCTTTGGGGGCTTTCTTGGGGCGCTCTTGGTGCGCCCTTGGGCTGTCTTAGGGCCGGCTTGGAGCCTTATTGGCCGATCGTGGGACCATCCTGACGCCTCTCAAGCCAGTCGGATGTGAAAAGGCAAGATGGCCAACATCATTGTTTTTCGCAGGTTTTGACATGAAGACGGTTTCGCGGAAGCGTCCTTGAAAAGGTTCGGAGGCCATCTAGAGCCGTTTTGGGGCGGTATTGGAGGTTCATGGAGGCATGTTGGAAACTATGTTGAACCATACTTGGCTATACTGTGCGCTCTTGGGGGCAATCTTGGGCCACCTGGGGCCATCTTGCGCCGCATTGGACGCTGTAGCCCTTCGCGCCCCCCCCTTCCAAATTCAGCGAGGGGGGATAGGGGGAGAGGTAAACATCTCTTCGAAGGGGAAGAAAGAGGTTGGCTGAACGAATTCGCTAAGCCACTGACGCCCAGAGGACTGTTGGAATTTAGATTGTCGGTCATCGAACCTCGATTTTCGCTTCAGCCTGTGACAGTTTGAGCGTGACTTGCTTGTTTCGGGCCCGCGTGCCATGGACGAGCGAAAGCCTTGGAGGGCTTTGGCACATTGAGGGCAGCAGGGGTCGGAAGGCACACGGGGTCCATTCCACTATTGCTTCGAAAAGGGATCAGTGTACCTTAGGTCCTTCCGCGTGTGTACCCTATGTCCCGACCCCCTCTGCTCATAGATATGTACATTGGCTCGGGTATTAGCATTGGTTGAAGGCCTCGTCCACTGTGAAGAAATCCTCATCACTGCATCGATGCTACGGATGTAGTGCAGGTTAGGCTTCTTGACACTATCCCCAAGGACCTTCCCTGGCGTTCCTCTTGCACACTGGCGCAACTGGTGCTCAAAGGGGTGTCGCTGCTCATTGAAGGTTTCTTATGGCACAACTTCGACTCCATCACTGCTACAGAACTCCTTATGGCACACGATACCTTGTCTTTCTATGAAGTGTCACCCCAGGAAAAATGTTTGATTGTTTGATTCGTTTGTAGGTCAAGGATCACATTAAGGTATGCGTTTGGTCTCGAAGGTGATCCAACGATTCCCGCCACCTGACAATGTCATATTCCTTGCATCGCGTGCGTTCTTGGTGTTAGTCATTGTTGCGACAACGGTGTTCCTGATGATGTTTTGCCCTACCGCAGAAGTGAAGCGCATGGAGCGTTTGGGTGAGCCAGATCCAATTCATCCGCCATGCTGCACGCAGTGGCTAATGACAGGGTGAGCAGCTGTCGAAGTCCCATTATCCTCATCTTTCTCCTCCTCATCTGCCCCTCTTCCTTCTCCAACTCGTCATACCTTGTCAGCTGTCTCGTGGTTTCGGGGCATGCTTTGTCTTCCATGCGAACGAGGCTTTCGAGGTCATGGCCTCACCCACCTAGTCGTGACAAGGCAGGGACGGTTTGTCACCACGGGCGGTCGATATTTCGTTCTTCACATTCATCAAATGGGGCGCTCCAGGAAGAGTTGCGGCTTCGAGGGATCGAGAGGTTGCTATCCTTTCTTCGGTGGAAGGCGACGCAAGCTGCGGAAGTAAAACGCTGGCGCCCTCTGCCAGCGGAAGCCAGCGGAAGCAGCAAGGTGATTTCAAAGATGTGCACATGCTGGGGGATTCGGGGTGTTTTTGAAACGAGCCATAACGATGACAACGGCATCGAGAACAACGGTCACAACAACAACGATAACGATAACATCGACCACTACGACAACGATAACGATAACAACGATCACAACGATGCCAACGATGACAACGATGACAGCGACAACGATAACGAGCCACATGTCGGCGGCGTGCACACGGGGGTGGCGCGAGGGGGGCAGCCTGCCAAGGTGGACGGGGAGGGGGGGCTTCTAAGGAGGCAGAGAGTGGGAGGAGGAGGAGGAGGAGGAGGAGGAGGAGGAGGAGGAGGAGGAGGAGGAGGAGGGGGAGGGGGAGGGCGCGGGAGGGAGGGAGGGAGGAGACGTCTCACATCGCCCGCCTACACAACTTCGCCTCGCCTGGACGCACGACACGAGCACGAAAGCGAAACCGATCTCCCAGTGGGGGGGGAGCTCTGCGTTTCACTGCGATCTCACCCCCTCGCCTCCGATAGACCTATACAACCACCCTTCGGGGGATAAGGAGGTTCGGGGGTCGGTGGGAGAAACCGACGTCTGTCTCGATCGATACCACCATCGATCTGGCTACCGATCGCACTGTCGATCACACTATCGAGTTCACTACCGATTTCACTATCGATCTCACGATCGATCTCACTATCGATCATTCTACCGATCTCACTATCGATCTCACTATCCCTCTCACTATCGATGGGACACCAGTGGAACACCGACGGGACACCGACGGGACTCCGATGGGACACCAGTGGGACACCGACGGGACACCGACGGGGCACCGGCGGGATGCCCGCGGGACACCCCTGGCCACCACCAGACAACCCAGGGGGGGACCAGTCTTTCTTGCCCAGCGGCGCCTCAGCCACAGGAGGGTTTATTCCTCTCGCCCGCCCACGCAGCTTCGCCTCACCCGCGTGCACGACAGGAACACGAAACCAAAACCGATTTCCCAGTGAGGGGCTCTCCGTTTCACTGCGATCTCACCCCCCTCGCCTCCGATATTCGATGTTCAAAGGGGGGGGCCGATCGGACTGGCTTCTTTCTTGCGGGCGCGTGGCTGGATGGATGGTTCGGTCTCTGGGGGCGATACCTGGAGGCAACACATGGGGGGCAATACTTGAGGGCACCATGGGGGCAATACTTGGGGGCAGCACATGGGATCATCGCACGGGGGCAATACTTCGGGGCAGCACTTGGGGCCAACACATGGAAAGCGTGGCCGCCGCGCCCTCACTCTGATGCGCAAGTGCGGGGTGCTACGTATAACGCAGTAAGCTGCCCTCGCGCGCGCGTGTGGTCATAGAGGGGCCCTAGGAAACACTAAAAAACCCTCTGGACCACAGACGCGCAGCTCTGCAACACGCCCACTCCCTGAGATCCGATGTCGTGATTTTTGTCACGTGCGGGGTCCCCAGAAGTCTCGACCCTTTCCCCAGGACCCGTTCTGCATCCCGAGTAGTTTTTTGACGGTCCCGAGGCTCGGCGAGGGCCCCTCGTGGCCGAACTTTGCGAAAGAAACCCGTCTCGATGTTTTCAAGACGTTGGATCTCTGGGCTTCGTGCAGGCTCATCCCCACCTCTCGCCGCCGCCGGCCTCCGCGGCAGCAGCCGTCCAGGCTCAGGGGCCAGCCTCTCGGGCGCACCCGGTGAGGGTCCCCAGCAGCAGGCTTCCGGCACCCCGCCGGCTCCCAGGGGGCCACGCCCCGGCACACCTCGGCGGCAGTCAAAGACGGGGTTCCTGAGGGATGAGGTCCTAACCTCGTGGACGACGATCAACGGAGAGAGAGCGTGTTGCCAAATAGTTCCCAGATGCCGAACACATATTCAAAACATGCATTCGGCATGTCGAAACAGGGTCTTGACATGATGAGAACATGTTTCAAACATCTTAAGCACACGTTTAGTTCAAGGGTAGGAATGTTAGAGTGTCCAGTGCCATGGCATCCACAGTCCTAACCCAGAGATCCAACGTATTGAAAAAATCGAGACGGAGGTTTTTCGCAAAGTTCTGCCCCTGGGGGCCCTCGCCGGGCCTCGGGACCGTCAGAAAAGAAACGATTCGGGATGAAGAACGGGTCCTGGGGAAAGGGTCGAGACTTCCGGGGACCCCGCATGTGACAAGAATCACGACGTCGGATCTCAGGGAAGGATCGGAGGGGACCCAAGGGTGGGTTCGCGTCGCTGGAGAAGCTCTGCCCTTAGGAGCCATTTATCTCGGGACCCCGTCTTTGAACCACCGCACGCCGCCCCCCGCGGCCCGGCACGAGCCAGGCTTCCCAGATCCCTGACCTCCGAGGGCTCGGGGGGTCCAAGGGGAGTGATGACTAAACTGGGGGCTGGAGATCATGGCGTGGGCCATGATAGATCCTCAGATTTCATGGGTGCCTCTTCTTGTCTCGTTGCGTCCCTGCCCCCCCCCCCCTGGGGCCGCGCACGCGCCGCTGGCCAGGATTTGCGCCCCCCCCCTCCTGGACGCCCCCCTCTTGGCCGCCCCCGAAGGGTCGAGCATCGACGTTCCGTGCTCGAGGCTTTCTCTGGCCAGAGGCGGCCTCCTCGCGCCTCCTCGGGGCTCGCCTCGCGCCGCCGCGGCCTCGTCGCCGCGGTGTCTCTCGGGGTCCGCCCCGAGAGGCTCTGGCCGGCAGGCGCCCCCCCGGGAGGGTCCGGGGGCCGACGTTCGGCACCGGGGCCCAGACCCCCATCGCGCCGTGAGCAAGCGCGACGGACGGATTTCGGAGAAGACGAAACGCCATAAAAAGAAACTCTTGGCGCTCCGCGCGGATTGCTTGAATCCGCGCTGGGACCCATGCCGCTACACCTCCCTCGTTTTCCCCTTTTTCGGGCTCTTGGGCGGCTCTCGTCGCCACCGCTGGATTCGCCTCGAAATTCTGGTCAGAACGTCAGAACGCACCCCGACAGAGGTCCGGGGAGTAGGTAGAGGTATCGGCACCTGTTGGTTCCCCCCAAAAAGCACGACGGACGGATTGTGGCAAGTTTGGGTCTCCGCGGGGGCTCGGGGTGCGAGACTGGCCCCGGGGCATCGTTCCAGACCTCTTAGGGGTCGCCGTTGCGGAAAGATCGTGGCGTCAGAGGTCAGGGACAGGGCTGGTGCAGATGGGGCCAGAGCATCGCACCGCATTGCCGATACATGATGATGATGATGATGATGATGATGATGATGATGATGATGATGATGATGATGATGATGATGATGATGATGATGATGATGATGATGATGATGATGATGATGATGATGATGATGATGATGATGATGATGATGATGATGATGATGATGATGATGATGATGATGATGATGATGATGATGATGATGATGATGATGATGATGATGATGATGATGATGATGATGATGATGATGATGATGATGATGACGAGGAGGAGGAGGAGGAGGATGATGATGATGATGATGATGCTGATGATGATGATGATGACGAGGAGGAGGAGGAGGAGGAGGATGATGATGATGATGCTGATGCTGAGGCTGATGATGATGCTGATGATGATGATGAGGATGATGATAGTGACGATAAGGATCAGGATGACGATGGCGACGGCGATGACGGTGATGATGATGATGAGTATGATGATGATGACGTTTATGGTGATGGTGGTGATGATGATGGTGGCGATGAGGAGGAGGAGGAGGAGGAGGAGGAGGAGGATAATGATAATGATGATCATGATGATGTTGATGATGGTGGTGGTGATGCTGATGCTGATGACGGTGGTGTTGGTAGTGAGGGTGATGATGATGGTGATGTTGATGAGGATAATGATGATGATCATGATGATGATGATGATCCTGTAAATGTTGATAATGATGATGATGCTGCTGATGTGTATGATGATGAGTATGATGATGATGCTCAGGATGATGGTGTTGATGATCTTGATGATGAAAATCATGATGGTGATGACACTGTTGATGATGATGATGATGATGATGATGATGATGATAATGCTAATGATGGCGATGATGATGCTGTTTCTGCTGATGATGATATTGATGATGATAATGATGATGATGATGCTGCTGATGATGATGAAGATGCTGATGATGGTGGTGGCATCGATGATAGTAATCATGATGATGATCATGATTATGGTGATGGTTGTGATGGTGGTGGCGATGGTGATGATGAGGAGGAGGAGGAGGAAGAGGATAATGATGATGATGATCCGAATCATCGTGCAGTATCATCATCCATTAGGCCCCTTTTCCCATCCCTCTGCCGCCGACGCATCGGCGCAGCATCGGCAATGCGGCGACCCTCAGACTCCATCTGCAACAGCCCAAGCTTGGGAGGCCTTCGTACAAGGAACTCGGCCATGTCACTGCAGGTGGAGGGCATGCGCGCAGTCACAGACGAACAGTCCATGTGGGAGGAGGGGCCGCCATGAAGAGAGGGGGGTCCTGAAGGAGGGGGGTCACCGAGGCCCTCCCCCGCCGTCGGCCCCTCGAGGTCCCCACCGGGCCCCGGGACTGCCCAGAGACGGTTCGTGTTGAGAGGATGTCCTCTGGGGCCAGCCTTGGGGGCAGGGGACCCGTTTTTTCCTCGGGGCCCTCTTCTCCTTCGTGTCGAAGGAGAGGTGCAACTCGGGCACGACCGCCATTGGGCCCAGGATGACGAAGCCCCTGCCGTTCAGGATGACGCAGTCCATGCCGAACTCGCCCCGCCTGGGGAGCAGCGCGGAAACTGGCACCTCTGATACCACCTCCGCGGACGACAAGGATTACAAAGACACGGGTTATGACACCCCGGATGAATTCCTGGATGAGTTCCAGTCGGAGATCGGCCGGAGTTGGTCGGACATGCGCAATGCCCCGGGCGAGTTTTCGCCGCATCCGTGTTCGCATGCGCCCGACGCCATGCCGAGCTATAGCGTCACAGGCCCTTGCTCTTTGCAGGGCTGGATTTTTCCCAGCACGCTGCAGTGCCACACGAACGGCGTCGGCAACGGCCCAGGCATCCATTTTCTCAGTGGGCCTCGGGAGGCTAAGCAGCCTACACATGTGGGAAGGGAGATGACGTTGATGATGCGGAACATCCCGAAGAAGTTGACGCAGCAAGCGCTCCTAGATGAGATCAATTCGAAGGGCTTCTCGGGCACGTACAATTTCGTCTACCTCCCAATGGACCAGGGCTCCAAGGGGAACCGAGGGTATTCCTTCATCAATTTCACCGACCCTGCGTATGCCGCGGCATTCAAGTCCTGCTACGAAGGCCGCCAGCTCAGCCAGTACAGCTCCCGGAAGTTCATTGCCATTCTCCAGGCGGAGATACAGGGTCTCGAGGCCAATCGTGAGCACTTTTTTACGACACACGCTGCGCAGGAAGACTCTGGGCCGCAGACCCTGTTCCTTCGGCAGCCTCATGCGACGCCCGCGAAGTCGTCAGAAGTGTCAGAGCAGTGCCGAGGTGTCCGTCTCAAGGGCGCAGCAGCGACGCCAGCGAAGTCCACCTTGAGTCGGATCGCGTCAAAATATTGCGCGGCATTGGTTTCGGGTGAGCAGGGCCAGGCGCCTCCTGCGAAGAAGAGGTCCGCCGTCAACTTTTGCCCGTACTGCGGGGGCGGCGCAGAAGAGAGCTTCAAGTTCTGCCAATTTTGTGGAAAGTCCCTTTGCCTCTGAGGTGTAGGGCGGCTCAGCAGAAGAGCTATCCAGTTGCGCTGCCCTGCGCATCCGCCACTGCATCGGGTACAGCTGCAACTAGCGCTGTACGAGCGTTGCACGCTTGTTTCGTGCTCTTGGGGATACCGGGCGACTAATCGGGGCATCGTGTGCGCCTCTCGCAAGCTTCGTGGGGGGTCATGGGGTGATCTTGAAGGAGGGCAGGAAGGATTTGGGGGCCGTGGGCGGAGATCGTTGGACCGTCTTGGAAAAAAGGCTGGGGGACATCTGGGGGCAATATCTGACAGAGCCCTGTGGCCTAGACCCTAAGCCCGAAACCCGGGCGGGCCCAGGGCCGCGTAGGGGCCGCTTTAAGGGTTTAAGAGGGTGTTGGGGCCATCTTGGGCAGGCATCGGCCCTCACGAGCTCCTCCTCCTGCTCCTCCTCCTCCTGCTCCTCCTCCTCCTCCTCCTCCTCCTCCTCCTCCTCCTCCTCCTCCTCCTCCTCCTCCTCCTCCTCCTCCTCCTCCCGGATCTCATGGCGCGCCGGGCCGCCGCCCAGGGGTTCTCAAGAGGCTCATGGGAGGCAGCACCCGAGTGCATCCTATTCCAGGGCTCCATGCTCGCAGCGGTGCAGCAGGCACTGCATTCGGGCGCCCCAGGGTTTGGAGCCGCCGAGGGAGAGCTCACGGGCCTGTTCGCACCCAGAGTGTGGGGATGTCTCAGGCGCGTCGTTTGTTTTTGGAGGTCGGCGTGCCTCCTTCCAAGGGCTCCTCCTCCTCCTCCTTCTCCTACTCTTTTTAGTCGCCACGATGCAGCAGGCACAGCACCTGGGTACCCCAGAAGGTTGGAGCCGCCAGAGAGTAGCGCACGGGCCCGTTCGCGCCCACATGTTTTGGATGTCTCGAGCGGTTCGCTTGCTTTCGGGGTAAGACGTATTCATCCAGGGCGCCATGATCCCCACGATGCAACAGGCCTGGCATTTGGGCACCTCGAGGGGGAGCCGCCAGGGGACATCTCAGGGGCCCGTTCGCATCCAGATTGCACGGATGTCTCTCGCGATGTGGTTGGTTCGTGAGGTCGACGTGCGTAGTTTCATGGCGTCAGATGTAGCAGGTGTAGCACTTGCATGGGGGGGGCACCAGGAAGTACCCTACGGGCCCGCTCGCGGCCAGATGATTTAGATGTCTCGAGCGGCATGTTTGTCCTCTGATGTAGACAAGTCTCTTTCCAGGGCTCCAGGATCGCCGCGATGTAGCAGGCATGGCACCTCGCGATGTAGAAGGTGTACCACTTGCATGGGGGGGGCGCCGGGAAGTACCCTGCGGGCCCGTTCGCGGCCAGATGGCTTGGATGTCTCAACCGATTCGAGTGTTTTGAGAGGTGGACGTGCGAGGGAGCCGCCAGGGTGATGTTGGATGTCCCCGTTCGCGTTCAGAATGTGGTGTATTCCAGACGGATCGTCTTTTTGAAGAGAGACAGGCGGAGACGCTCGTGGCTCCAGATCCCCATGATCACCGCGACTGGGCAGGCACAGCACCTGGGCACTACAGGGGGGAGGCGCGAGGGGAGACCAGGTCGTGCCCAGGTCCACTCACGCTCGGTCCGATGTCTGCCCAGTCAGCCGCACCCAGCCTCACCCACCTTCAGGCTCGTTGATGTCAGGCATGCATGTTGCGTGTGTTAGAAAGGAGATGCACGTGTGGAGTCCCCGAAGCTGACGGCAAAGTGGCGGGGCGTGTGGCTGGGCGTTCGTGGGGCAGGTTTCCTGGTGGGGTGGGGTGGCAATTCCATCCGCGGGGCGAGGAGCGGGAAGCGACTCCTCGGTGGATTGGCAATGCCATCATGGGGGGAGGAGCTGTCAGCTCTGTGTGGGCTCAAGTCGGGCGTGTCCCTCTACAGCAGGAATACTCAAAAACGGTCAAACAATACTCTGGGGACGATGTGTTTACTATGTTCGGCCATGTTGGGGCATTTTCTGCTGCGTTTAATTATTCGTCAAAAATCCGCCTGTAGGAGGACATGCCCGACCTAAGTGCGGGGCGGTATAGTATCGGGCGGGGTGTTTTCTCGTGGATGGGAAGATGAGGCACATTCAGAGCATGACACTTGAGCAAATGAACATGAGTATATGCAACAACGCGTACGCCCCAGAGAGGCTCGGCAGAACCATCCTAGGACCGTCCGGCCCATCTTGAGTTTAGTGGAGAGCCTTCTTGGGCGGCCTGTGACATTTTCGAGGGTTGTCAGATGTCTTGGGCAGTCTTGCAATTCTTTTTCTTTTTGTTTTTGAGGGGGGCGGGCGCTGGGGCTATCGTGGGGCTCTCTGTGAAGCCTCCTCGAGGCCATCTCAGACCGAGAGGCTCGAAAGGTCAGCAAGATCTCGAACACCTTGAGTTCGAAGTGCTCGGCCTCATAAGGCCTTGTTGGATGGCTCATTTCGCGCCTCCTCGGCGCTTATTTTGGGGTTCGTGACACCCTCTGGGGAACCTTTGGGCCGCATTGGGCTGGCCTCGGGGCATCTCGCAGCCGCCCTGGTGCTGGGGCAGCATTGGGGCTGAAGACGAGCGAAGGTGAGCTGACTGCAGGCAGTGGGCCCTGGAAAAACGGCAGAGCTTTCTTGCATCCGTACCCGAAAATTCGGCCCTTGAATTCGAAAACACAGCAATGTGCCAACCAAAACGGAAACGCGACCTGCGACGGTATCGGAACAGGAACCATAGTTAGCAGAAAGCGATAAAGCCGAAAAACAAATCGCGACCGAACCATAACATAAATGCCTTGTTGTTTCCAGGGCCTACTACAGACAGTCAGGTAAAGTTGGTACGACTTGCCTGGACTGTAAGCATGACTGAGGTTGCTTGGATTGGAAGCGTGACTGAATCAACGCATGACCAGGGTCTGAACCTCAAGGTACCGGCGACGACAACGACGATGACGACGCCAGCGATGGCGAGGTCCAGTGATCAGAACGCGAGACGGCCAAAACGTCGGAACCCAGAAGAGCAGCTCAGTAAAGTTCCAGAAGGGTGCCAGCGATGACGACGCCGTCGATGGCGAGGTCCAGTGATCAGAACGCGCGACGGTTAAAACGTCGGAGCCCAGAGGAGCAGCTCAGTAAAGTTCTAGAAGGAATTGCCTGAGTCAAGTTCTGGAAGGAGCCGCTTGAGTAAAGTTCTAGCAGAAGCGCCTGCGTAAGTTTCTAGAAGGGGCCTCCCCCCCCCTGTCGCGCCTGCTCCGCGCCCCTGCGCAAGTCGTCCTCGGAGTCCTCCGATGCCCTTCATTGGTACAATACAACGGTACTGTGGTCCGACAGGATCCGTGCCAAACACGCTATTTCCCCACCATTCGGATCCGGCCAAAACCCATCGAATTCGCATAGGATCCGTCCAACAAGCATCGGGTTCGCATAGGATCCATGGCGGATCCGCATCCAGATCCGACGCCCGAGGCGAGGGTGAGACTCCCGAGCGGGGACCCTCATCAACGTCTGCGGGGGCCCCTGCAGACCTTTTCGGGCACCCGACGCTGCACCCATCGCCCGCGACCTGCCGCCAAACTTGTTTTCGCCAGGCTGGCTGGACCGACGGCTCCCGGCCTGGCTGGGCCGAATTCTCGAATCGTACCAACTTACCTGACTGTTTGTCGAGGGGGTAGGAGGCAGTTCTTGTTTTGAACCATGTTGCGACCAGAGGCGTGCCCTTAGAAAACGCAGGGAAATTCGATCAGACGCTTGGCAGCCCCTGCATGTTGGCAGCACGGTGGCGGATCCTCTCCCTTGTTGAATCTGCGAGATCCCCAGCCAAAAGTTAAAGCAGCAACCAAATATTTGAACGACCCAGGCTGCAAAAGCCCATGTGAACGGACTCCTGCTAACATTTGCACGTTCAGACAAGCGACCTAAAATGTCCACACGCATTATTGGCTGAAAGATAACCCCCACACGCACTCTCGGCGAGCTGTGCCACATTACATACCGAAGATGTCAGTTGACGGTCGTCTCCCCAATTAACCCGGCGATGTCCACCATGTTGGATGGAAGATGCCAGTCGAAGCACGACAATTTGTTCATACACAGAATTGCAATATCATGACCAAGGAGGCGCCGCGCCAAAATGCCTTACAAACGAAAGTTTCACTGGCATATGTTTATTTGGCGGAGGCGCTGAGCGTTCTACTCCCAGGAGCGAAAACAAAAGATTGGCATTTGTTTATTTCGGCATTGGCGTGGCCAGAAGCTGCCCGGCAGCAAAAACGCAGCAGTTGGATTGCCCGTGTACCCACATCAGTGCGCACGTTTGTTTTTCGTGTTAGGGAGACCGAACAAAGCCGAACAGCCTCCCAAGGGAAGCTCTTGGCGTAGTCAAGTTGCGCGGCATTTTACCGAGCCGTCGAAGTTCTTCTTTTAGATATAACGCTGTCCCATTTCCCCCCGCTGGGCGAACAGGTAAACTTGGCATGATTGAATTTGGCGGGGGCGGTCGCATAACTTCCTGCAAACGAAGTTTTAAATGCCGCACTTCTTAAGTCGGCAGGGGCCTTGACCAGAAGTGCCGCGCGAAAAAAAACAAGCAGCATTTAAAAGATAGGGTGTACCAGTGGCTACCCCTGAAACAAGTAATGAGCCAAAGGATGTGTGTGGTGCCCTGTCTTGGGAGGGCACCTTTTAGTGTTTCAATGGAAAGTCGCATAAGGATTCGACATGCCAAGAGCTGCAAGAGTGGTGGCGGACACCCTCTCGCACTCACTCAGCAGGCAGCACCGAGTCCGTGTAGACTGGGGCTCCTGCCTTTTGAAGCAGCACAGATGAAGCCATAATTTGTGCAGACAGAGAATTTTGCTAGAAGGCATGTCGGGAGTTGCGGGTGGTAGGGTTCTCGAGGATGTGGGATCCTTGTCACAGGCCCGAGTCATGCCATGGCATGACACATGCCCACTAGTTTCTTCAGGCTTGGCTGAGAGAGGGCAGCGCCCCGTCCACAGAAAATATTGGAACAGAAGGGGATGGCAGCAGGGGTCACC